TAGGGCTCTAACAACTTCATGTTCTCGTCGGCTTCATTTATAGATAAAAAGGTCACCTTTTCTTTCGGGCAATGTTTCGCGAAGTGCCCTGTTTCGTGGCAATTGAAACAAGTCGCCGGTTTTCTCGCCTCAAATTTCCTTTTGCTTGCCTCTGCCGACGCCCCATGGTTAGATGAATTGTTTTCCTCACCCTTTTGTGCGAGACTTGTCGGTTGTTTTCTAAACGGCGCCTTATTCGGTAGTAGGAATTTTTCTCTTTTAGGCTCGCTGTTTGCCCCGAGGGCACGGCGCGTAACGAATTCTTCAGCGAGCTCTGCGGCTTTTGTTACGGTGTTCACGTCTGGTCTATCCTGCACCCAGAACCTCACCTTTTCTGGTAACCTTTGATAGAATTGTTCCAGACCGATACACTCAAGCACCTTGTCATGATTCCCATACGCCTTGGCCTCTTTCAGCCACTCCCCCACGTTGGCCATTAACTTGTAAGCAAACTCCGGGTATGAATCATTGCTCTCTTTTACGGCGTTGCGAAATTTTTGTCTGAAACCTTCCGCTGACAACCTGTATTTCTTGAGAAGGCTCGACTTTACCGCACTGTACTCGTCAGCCTCCTCTTTCGTGAGGCGCGCGATTACTTCTGAGGCCTCCCCCGGAAGTAGGGACAACAAGCGTTGAGACCATGTATCCTGGCTGAAACCTTGCCTTTCACAAGTTCTCTCAAAGTTGACGAGGAACAGCCCAATGTCCTCCCCTAGCTTGTACGATCTCATTAGGTCCGTCATTTTGAACCTGACCCGCTCTGCTGTACCGGATGCCTCGCTGCCTCCTGCTCTACTATTATGGCTAATCTCTAGCTCGAGGCGCTTCATTTCAAGCTCGTGCTTTCGCATCTTATCTGCCTCGGCTTCTGCCGCTTTCCTTTCGGCCTCCGCCGCCTTTCTTTCGGTCTCTGCCGCTTGCCTCTCCTGAATCTCCTCGACACATTCTGACAGCTCGTCATCCTCCGCCCCCAATGCGAGAATCGCCTCTATCAGCTCTGGCTTTCTTTGAGAGTTCGACACCTCCAGATTCAACTCCCTTGCAAGTGGCAACAACATGGACTTTCGCAGGGATTTCAGATTCATGGCTGCTTCCAGTACCGCTGTCTCTGTTCCACAAAGATTCCTGTCCTGCAACTAATTAACCTTGACGGCAACGACAGCTCTAGATACCTGCCTTGCCTCAAGTTTTCCGTTAACTTAGTCTACAAATAAAGCTTCAAAAGCTCTTACACGGAATCCTGCCCTGTCACTGTTAACCTTGACGCCACTGACAGAAAGAGCTTAACCAAGCTATCACACAATTTCTGCCTGACGCAAGTTACCTGTTAACCCAATGACCAAGACAGCCCCTCTCTACCAGCTTTTACTTAACACATAGAGTAAATGCCTGGTAAAATTTAACAGAGAAAGCCGGCACTCACCCAGTTCGCAGTCATGTCTCCGGCGTCGTGCCGCTCAGAAGTGCCGTTCAATTCCCTCTGGAAGTCGATGAGCTCGTGTCATCCTTCTCCTGTCGTCCCGTTGTTGAACTTCGGGCTCACTCCATCCAGTGGTCGCTTTCGGGGTTATCGGCATCCCGCCGCTGCCATCCAGTTGTTGAGACTCCGGGTCCTGCCGGTCTCGTTTTCGGTAGCTGGCCCCGTCGCAGGATCCATCGTCCAACAATTCAGCGAGAAAGAAGCGCCCGAACGAACAACAGAGATTTATTTACATGTGGAGAAGTGGTCAACTGACCCAAAGAGAGAAGAGTGAGCGTGATACAAAACGTCTTCGGCATTTTATAGCGCCGCGCCGTTGACACTGGGCGCCCCGTCCGCATCGTCAGCCAATATGGTGTCTCTGGCACCTCGGCCACGAGAGAGGGGGAAACACACCTCACAACACATGGAGTGGCACCACCTAACACGAGGTCCATATATGGTCACGGCGCCCTAAAATGTTACCAAACATGGTCACGAACGCACAGCAGACCCCGGAGCTCTCCCGGCGAGGAGGAACCCGAATGGGGAGGTGGGGGTGGACGACACCGTCGGTCAAGAACCGGTTCTCCCCCAAACTCTTCCTGCTTGGCTCCTCAGGGCCGGTCGTAACAGTCCCTAGAGAGCCTCCTTGAAAGCATTGAAAAACCTTGATGCAGTAGGAATGGAGGGAATCATGTCCTGATAGGCAATCTGTGCTTTTTGTGTCGTTTACCTCCCAGAAAGCTCTGTATAATATTTTTTTGCATGTCCGATCCCTTTTAAACAAAGAAATATAACATATAACTAGTGTAAGTTAGTGGTTTATTGATAAGACACAGTCAAAGGCAATTGGATGTCTTTTCGTCGTGTTTTGCTTCTCTCCCATGCAAGAACTAAAAAAAATTGCTTTGTCTCTGGACACGAAACGAACTAAACTTTTGGAGTTGTGCAGCTCATAGTCTAAAGTAACCAAATAATTAGTTACGTTACTGCACTAACGCAGGAATAGCGTCATGCACGGATCCAAAAATTTCGCAGCAGAATTTCGCCCCTTTTGGACGGGTCACGAACACACTGACACCAGCTGTGCAACTTTTCCCGCGCAAATGCTGTGAACAATAATTAACTTTTACACATAAAAAGACAGATAAGGCCCATGAATTATCGCAGAAAAAAAGAAAAAAAGAAGTTTTTGTGTTAGCTACAGAGGCCGGCAATGTCAATATGTCGCGTTTTGGCCCGTGTCTCATTTTACCCCGCCCTACCCTAAATCAATAACATATCATCTACTTTGTATATTTATGTTGAAATAGGCTTGACGAACGTGCCATGTTGGTCACCGCATTAATAAGGGTGATAGCCGCAGCTTTTAATGTGCCCTAATAAGATGTGTGAATATGAGGTGCCTGTACATTTCGCGTAATACCTTTGCAGTTTCCTTCAGTGAACCCTTTATGAACAAATCTGTTCATTTCCCCGAATAGCTACTCACACAAGGCAACAACATTCTCATGGATAACAATTAATATTATGGACCACTTGAGAACGAAGGCAAACGATCGCGGTTTCGATTCTGCCGCGGCGGTGTAGTCAAGACGGTGGTAGGCTGCGGAACCGAAGGTCACGGGTTAGACCCTATGGATTGATTGATTGATATGTGGAGTTGAACGTCCCAAACCCACCATAGAATTATGAGAGACGCCATAGTGGAGCGCTCCAGAAGTTTTGACCACCTGGGGTTCTTTAACGTGCACCGAAATCTGAGCACACGGGCCTACAGCACTTTTGCCTCAATCGAAGATGCAGCTGCCGCAGACGGGATTTGATCCAGCAACCTGCGGGTCAGCAGCCGAGTACCTTAGCCACATGACCACCACGGCAAGGTATGTGTTCGATCCCAGTCGCAGCGGTCCCATTTTCATAAAGACACAATGCTAAAGCCCCGTGTACTGTTCGATGCCAGTGCACATTAAAGAAAAAGAGATCGTCAAAATTTTCGAAGCCCTCCCCCACGGTATCCCTCCTAAACATGTCGTGGTTTCGGAGCGTAAAACGTCAAGAAATATTAAGGGGGGTAGCGAACTGATCATACAACAGCAGGGGTATTTGTTTAGAGTGACACACACACACACACACACACACACACACACACACACACACACACACACACACACACACACACACACACACACACACACACACACACACACACACACACACACACACACACACACACACACACACACACACACACACACACACACACTATTTCTAACCCACTTTTTTCTTGATATTCACATTACAATTTGGTCTAATACCTTTCACTATGCTTTCCTTGGCTATTATTGGCATTATTGTCTGTTAGATTGCATTAATATTGTGTGAAACACGGAAAAACGAGCCCTTAAGTATGCAATTCTTTTTTTAATTCAATAACAAGGGTCTCGTACTGGCAGACTTGATGCCTTGAGGTTGTATACGAAGAACCATTGGTCAGCTGCCAGCTCATAAAAAGTATACGTGCTACGTGACGCCATACAGGCTCATAAAGAACCTGCCACACTCGCCGCCACGGCTACTGGTGGCGCTGACTGACATTCCCTCGTTTAGTTTACATATATACCCAATTAAGTGGCTGGGAGGATAGCCGCCGTTGTAGCTCAGTTGGTACAGCATTGAACGCGTTCTTCGAAGGTCGCACGCTTTGTTGCTGCCCGCGGCAAATTATCTTTTCACCCACTTTTCTTTTTCGACATTTACATTGGAAGTCTGTCTAATAAATTTCCATTTAATTTCCTTGGCAACATTGTTGGTTGGATCTCATTAGTATTGTGTCAAACGCGGGAAAACAAGCCCTTTATTATACACTTTTTTCCTTAATTCATTAACGAGGGTCTCATACTGGCAGACGTGGTGCCTTTAGGTTGCATACGAGGGACCATTGGTCAGCTGCCAGCTCGTAATAAGTTCAAGTGGTACGTTACGCCAAAAAGGCTCATGTAGAGTGTGACACAATCGCTGCCATGGCTACTGGTGGCACTGACTTAAACTCCCATGTTTAATTCACATATATACCCAATAAAGTTGCAGGAGGGATAATCGCCGTGGTATTTCAGTTGGTATAGCATCAAACGCGTTTTTCGAAGGCCGCACGTTCGGTTCCTGCCCGCGGCAAGTTATCTCTTTCTCTTCACCCACTTTTCTTTGTTCACACTGGCATTACAATTGTAATAAAGTTCTGTATAATTTTCTTGGCAACATTGTTGGTTGTATCTCATTAGTATTGTGGCAAACGCAGGAAAATGAGTCGTCCCCAAGTGTACACTTCTTTATATATATATATCTATATAGCTATCTCTCTCTCTCTCTCTCTATGTATATATATATATATATATATATATATATATATATATATATATATGGAGTTTTTTGAGTGGTAGTAATTATGTAAACATGGGGTTATGATAAGTTATCATTTTTTAATTTCTTTTCTTTCCAGTGGTGAGTTCATACGGCATCACAACAGAGGTAAACGGATGCCGCACGAATGACCCGAAAAAGATGACGAAGCTCCAAGCGGGCACAGTGTAAGCAAGAAATTTAGACACAAGTGAATAACACTGTTTGTGCTCATGCATGGAACGCTTGCTTTCTCAATCGCTGAAACTGACCACCGGTTACAAAGTGAACATTAAATATGCTTGTATGCTTCCGGAATGGATTCCAACGCCCGAATTCGCAAAGTTTTCTTTCGTAGATACAATTCGCTATTGCTTGACCGCTTTCACTAACCCCAGTCAGTCACTACATATAATTCACAGCTCGTAAATGCATCAAATTCAATAGGCATAATTCCAAGGCGCCAAATACTACATTCTAAGATAGAAATTGGGGTATGGGTTGTTTTGCGCAAGTTTCATTATTTCATGTCAGCTTGCGGGCAATTTAATATATAAATATTATGCAATCCGTCAGATTCAACACCTTCCTAAAGAGACTGAACTATTATGCCTATAAAATGGAAGCATTTTTGTTTTTTTCTTGCTGTGCTCATTTCGAGCTAAAAAAAAAAAAACAACTGACGGTGGTCCTGGACCACGGTGCGTCGAGTGATCGTCGAACGTGATTGCGTCTCCAGTAAAGTGATACCCTGTAGCAATACGGTGCCAATGAAGGTAAATGACCTCTATAGTTGTCTACTCGGGAAGCCTGCGCAAATGCGCACAATGCGTTTGAGATAATTTCAACGGACACGGTGTTTCGCGCACCTCCAAAATTAATGTGCACAATTGTGCCCAGCGTGACTACACGGGCATTATTTTTGTTCACGTCACTATCACCTGGCATGAGCTCTTTTTAGTTTTGAGTTTTGAGAGAACTTGACGTAGTGCACAGGAGAAAAAATAAATCAAAGGTCCAACTCCGCTTTGTGCAGAGACGCCAGCGACGCCTTTGCCAATCCGCGAACAGCTCCAACGTAAGCTCCTCGTGAAATTATGGCGTAAAAACTTGTGGGGGGGGGGGGGGTTAAGTTGGAATACGAGGTTTAAGTTGGTAACTTATGACATTTCTAGCTGTTTCGCGACGTTCCGTGCGTGATATTTATCACGTTACAAAGTTTTACGGGATTTTCAGTCATGTGACTAAATTTTAAGCGATGCTACGTGATTTTTAGTCACGTGAACAGTTATTACGCGATGGCTCGTGAGATTTTGTGACGTGACTAGTTATCACGCAATGTTACATGATTTAGCCACATGACCAGACGTTACGCTTTTACCTGACATTAGTCACGTGACTAGTAAGTGCGTAATCTTAGTCATGTGACTCGTTGTTGCGTGATCTTTGATTGTAGCCACATGACCAGTCGTGACACTATTTTCAGACACACAACATACTCGCCCATCATAGTTATATATATTCCATTCTACAGCCCGAAAAATCGGCGCACCTATTGTGGGAGTGGAGCGGAAGATGAACAGAACAAACCAATCACGCCCCGGTTCATTGTTCGCACTAGCCTGAGCAACTAAAACCTTTAAAGCTCTGCAGCTATCTTTGAAAGCCTGTTTTAATTTCTGAGCCCTGGTCACGCAGTAACGCTGGGCCTACTGGATTTCGTAGCTTATGGTCGAACAAGCCCCTTACATTTTCGAAATAAATGGTATCGAAGAGGATATCATTACGTTGTTGGCGCTCAGGGTAGTCAAAACGTGCTCCGACAACCCAGCCGTTCTGCCTGTGAGCCGGCAATTCCGAACGTATGCGGGGTTTTTACAATAGTGGAGCTCAGATAACTCTTCAGGAAAAAAAGAATCCAACAAGGAGACAGTCCATTATGTCAAACATTTTATTCCTTCATTTTTTTTCTTGCGCGAATATCCGGTAAATTCATGTGATATCATACCACCTTGATTAAACCCTTAAGGTCGGAAATCTTTTATGAGGAAAGAGATGAAGCGGTGTTCGCGTATTACCACATCACCCACTTGTACCACGTCAACGACATCGTGTCTTATAAACAGAATCTGACTGATTTTAATGTTTGAAGGCTCAGACATTGGCCCGTCGTCGAACTGAACCCAACTTCACGTGTAGATGGTGTAGAACGACTTTTGAAAGAGATAGGTTTCTGATTAGGTGGGCTTTTTTTTTCGTTTTGTGTGAACTTTTATTCCTGTTTTATGTGGATATAGGTATAGCCACATATCTTTAGTATTCCATATTCTCCTTTTTGTTTCTTTAGAAACGAAAAACTCCTGCATGTGTGCGAGTGCTTTAAAGCCCTTAGAACTACGACAGTAAGGCGAGTTACAGGTAACTGCAGGATACACCACATATATTGAAAAAAAAAAAAACAAAAAACAACCATCATGATCGCATACATACTAGATCCATAGTTGTAATCGAAGTCTTTTATAACTCTCACAATTTTTTACAGGGCATTTTTATGCTGCCTAGCATCTGTCGTGGTCCTCGCTACGATAGTCGAATATGCGATCCAGCGAAGAAACCTGCCCCGAAAGAAGCATAATCGTGAGTAGCAAGCTGCTGATTAACCATTACGATACATATTATTTACGATCATAAGTGTTGCTATTCGCATGAAATTGCGTATATGAGCGCGCTAATCAGTTAAAAAATGAAATAAAGTAGCTACCCACCAGAACACAGCGAGTTCTGTATGCGCAGTCGTATTGAGGTAGGGTGCCTCAATGGGCTCGCATTGAGGCAGCTTATATTTAGGTAGCACGTCGCGCCATCCAACACCCTGAACTGACATACTTATACATCCTCCGCAAATCAAACACGAAACTTCTCAGCCTGAGTCCAGCTGTCCGCATGTTTCACCGTTTTCGTATCGTAGAAATGTGTGCAGTTTTTCTTAAACATCGAGGAGGCCTTCCTCGACAGGCCAGAATGTCCACAGCACGTACATTGCAGACTGCGGAAGCAAGGTATGTACTATCGCGAGGAAAAAAAATTGGGGGACCCTTAAGCTTCGCCTTTAATAGTGGAACGCGGTACCGAAATTCGGCCCCTAGTGCACGCTTCAACCGCTGAGTGCACACACACACACACACACACACACACACACACACACACACACACACACACACACACACGCACGCACAGGGAGAGAGAGATATATAGTACCAGCGAGCGCGCGCGAATGGTACATACGGGTTTTTGATCTAAAGGAAGAGCCCCATGGCATCAAAGATACGCCGCGCGCAGGCCACTTCGGAGGCCATAAAGAGTCTCACAATGCCTCACAGATGGCAGCACATTATCTATGTGTGTTTTTTTTTATGTGGGGTTTTAACGTCCCAAAACCACTATATGATTATGAGAGACGCCGTAGTGGAGGGCTCCGGAAATTTAGACCACCTGGGGTTCTTTAACGTGCACCCAAATCTGAGCACACGGGCCTACAACATTTCCGCCTCCATCGGAAATGCAGCCGCCGCAGCCGGGATTCGAACCCGCGCCCTGCGGGTCAGCAGCCGAGTACCTTAGCCACTAGACCACCGCGGCGGGGCAGCACATTATCTAGCATTTGCTTTCTGCTTGATCAATGCCTCTAGAAAAGAATATGTTTTCCACTAGACTGACATGATTAACCATTTTTAGAGCTGTTTGAAAGTTCCTGTGTGTTTTTAGCGGCGATGGCTGCACTATCCCGGCCTCTTTCGACGTGGTTTGATGGACTCCCAAATGTGCCTACAAAGCACAGAATAGGCTTGTTTTCGTCGGGACACCTGTCGAACGAAATGCATAAAGGAAAGTCCTTCCACTATATACATGACATTTATGTAGTGTTTTTTCACGAAGCAGCTGCAAGTAACATCGTGGCTTTGTGGTAGGACACCTGCTTGCCACGCGAACAGCACGGGTTTGATCCTCCCTGGGACCAAAAATTTTATTGTTTATTTAATTTGCTTCTTTCTCGATTTTTCACTCTCGGACGAATTTTCGCTCATAACCAACGGTTCCAACGCCGACAGCGGAATTTCTGCGACACGAGCTTTCTAACAGCTGAAAGGGTCGCTTTTGACTAAGTCGAACTGGGAGGCAAAGCTCAGCTAGCGACATCCTAGCGATAGAATCATGGCGAGCTATTTTCGAGATGTTCACCTAGTGCGAGTGTCCACTTCGGTAGCGCCCGTTCGGTTAGTAAAAATGCAGTGAGCCGTGACGTTATGGTGCTCTCGACCGCGTCGACCCACCGAACCCGCAACAAATTCCCAGCGTAAAGAAAAAACTGGTCGAAATGTACAGCAATAGGACATTTATTCATAATCATATGGTGGTTTTGGGACGTTAAACCCCACGAATCAATCAATGGGGCATTTAACCATGCTTCACAAGTCTCAACAAGCGTATGAACGAGTTGAAGTGTTTCAGAACGATGCAGGAATTGTACACCGACCCTCCAAGTGCGTTAGGTGGGCGGCCGTGTTAAACCTAATTCAAGGGTCAAAGTAATTAGAGTTTATGCCTGGCATTGGAAATATGGGTCCAAAAGTGGATCTATGAAGACAGAATTAGTTACCGCGAAACGCGTTTCGTCCCTCTCATTTGCGTCGAGAGTTCTGAAAATGTGACGGCAAAATGACGTTGCAGAAGGTGAGCAGGAGGGAGTGGGCGCGCTGCTCTTCGAGCTCCAGCCTGGCAGTAGATGTCGAAGTGGGTGGTCTACGAGGTAGACACATCGAGTATCCCACCCCTGCTCAATGCCACCTAGAAGAATACCTTCAGGCCTGCTCACTGCCGCTGTGACGTCACTCGTCTTGCCCTAGCAAGCGCGCGTACGGGAGCCTGTGAATCTATTGCTACCATCGTCTACGTTTGAAGGATAAAGCATTCGCGGCAAGTTTTACATGCTTAACAGCTGTGTTCTGCCCTTTGCGTAAAAACATCTCTGGTTTAAGTAATGCATTACACTTGAAAGTGTTAGGGGATTTATCTGGGCGCTATTTCTTCTACGAAAAAAGTCAGACTGTGCGCTATCGAACGTGTGGTTGATCTAAAAGAGCAAAATTTGAGGAACCAATAAAGGGGCGAAATAAAAAGGGTAAACTTTATTCATTTTTTTTAGCCGCACACACACTCATGCACACACGATATCTATAACATGCAGATAAACTGTTCCCACTCATTTGAAAAGTTTCCACAGTTTTGTTTGTACTCTTTCGAACATGTCTTCAGAGACAGGAAGTTATAGAGGAGAATGTGTGCTGCTGCTACAAGTATGTTATTCAGCAAAATATCAGGGTGATGACCATTGCAAGAGAAAAAAAAAATATTTCAATGTGTTTGGTAAAATTATCTTGTGACCAACACAAGCGGCGTTTCCTCTTTTGTACTGGCCTCTCTCGTAGTGGTGCGTAGTCACTCATGTAACTTAGGGCCTGGGGAAAATGTCAGTACTGGTTCTTGAATAAAGCCCCCGTGGGCGCTTCTACTGCAGGGCCGGTTCTTGGATTGGTATGTTTGGTATGATTCATTAAATTTTCAAGCATGAAGTAGAGCTTACACACCTGAAAACCATTGAAAAAAAGCGCTTTACTGTAAGTGTATACACGCATCTAGAGATAGAGATAGAGAGAGATAAAGATGCAAGGAAAGGCAGGGAGGTTAACCAGACGCACATCCGGTTTGCTACACGCATCTAAATTTTAAGGAAACTTGTGAGGCTAAAGTGCTGACGAGACTGGCACAAACTATAATGCCGCAATAAAGTGGTAAGAACACCCGCAATAAAATACTATGGACAAAACCGACGCACTAAGCAATGCAACCGCATTCCTCCCATTTTTCCCAACCTTGTAAAGAAAGCTAATACAAGAAGTCTGCGATGCTAATCATCAATAGCAAAACGTTCACAGACGCTGAAGGAAAAACGTCTGTTCTGAAAAAGTACTGACAAGCGCGCTTATAATTTTAATGTAAAGGCTTACGCCAACAAATCAGAAGCACACATGACGCCATTATTATTGAGCAAGAAGGGAACATTGTGGAGATGGGGCCATCGGAACCAATTAGTAATAGGTAGTACGGACGCACAAACCATCGGGTCACGAAGAAAACGGATGTCGACGTCAGCTTGACGACGTCAGCTTGTCTTCAGGAAACGAGAACCCTCGCAACTTCGGTTCCTTTGTGGCGAAAATTTGCCACGCCACATCGCCCAACCATCCGGATTTGCAGTCGTTCAGATTGCGAATACGTAGTGCACAAATCGTATCCACGCTGCAGTTCACGGACACAGAAAAACACGGTCTTCTCGAGACGCCAACAAGCACACCAGCACGCCACGAAAACGTTCGTCAGGCGTGACAATCCATATCTGTCGAGTGGCGAGAGCAATCGTAGGTACGTCTATGCAGCGCAACACACTGGTCTGAACAGAATGACGTCAGAGCCCGCGGCAGAAAGAGCGGAGAGGCCTGAAATTCTCTAGGTGGCATCACCCTGCCCCGGCTTGCGCTCATGCGCCGAATGTAGTACTTATCATTCTCCAGTCATGCCTGGCACTCGGAACACACACGCGGTGCAAATGTGCCACCCATAGCAAGATTCTATAGCGCTACAGTGACGCTGGCTGAAAGCACAGATTCGCCTAGCGACACTCAAGGCATGTGGCAGTTCGACTGAGTTGCACACCACGCTTTCCCCTATTCACATTTATTTGCGTCGCGATAGTACGCCATCAAATTTATACTAAACGTGTGAAATGCGTGCATGCACATGTGATCGTGCTGTATCTTATTGTAGGAATGCGAACGGCGAAAGAGTATGGCAGTAATTTAGTGCCACATACTGCAATCATCTGCACGCAAATCACTGCTGTAAAGTGAAATAGCTCGCGTCACGCTTGAATACGCGCAGTAAGCCATAGATAGTTATGTGGGGTTCAACGTCCAAAAACCACCATTTGATTATGAGAGACGCTGTAGTGAAGAGCTCCGGAAATTTTGACCACCTGGGGTTCATTAACGTGTGCCCAACCGATGGAGGTGGAAATGTTGCAGGCCCGTGTGCTGAGATTTCGCTACACTGTTGGTTTACCTCCCTGATTTTTTCTCATTTTTTTGTTTTCCTTTCTTTTGTATGATTTCGGGATACAAGCCGTTTTGAAAGGGTTAAATGGTATTGAGTATTGCAACACCTCTTGTCTTTGTAATACGTTCCAGCAGCGAGAAATGTCACCGTCTCTTTTTCGGATTAATCCGTATAAATAAAGCGATGTGTGCCGCAAATCATTATTCAGACAACCTGCTTTACAAACTGCTGTGTTACTTTTTCTCTTTGTTCGGGGGGCAGCAGAGACCCCACTGAGGATACTGCTCATGTTCTCGGCCATCAACAACATGCGCATGCTGCTGAGAACGACAGACGTCGGGAGGAAGAAGAACCCCTTGAACTTTGTTGGTGGAATCAAAGTGTTCCTCATGTTTTGGGTCGTCTACGGGCACGCATACATCATTGGACAGATGGAGTTCGCAGGTATTCAAAAACACTGCGTTTTATGTAACACCAGTTTTGTAACATACATCCATACATATAGCACTGTAAAACCATCCGCCGTAGTGCACAAAAAAAGGCGAATGAATATATATATATATATATATATATATATATATATATATATATATATATATATATATATATATATATAAATATATATATATATATATATATATATATATATATATAAATATATATATATATATATATATATATATATATATATATATATATATATATATATATATATATATATATATATATATTGACCAGCGCTTCCTTCCCGGCGTGGAAACTTAGAATGGCACTGTTAGTTTGCTTTTGCCAGAGTTACAGATACGAACTGTACGAACCACTAATATACGCAGGGCTTCGTACCTAAATATACACAGTGTATTAGCTAACCTGCGTAAACTGAGAACAATTATTGTCAGTAAAAATCTTCCTTAGGTGGCCTACTAAGCTATCGATTAAGCGAAGAGTATCTCCGAGGGCTGACAACAATATATTTGAGACCAAAAGTACCATTATGATGGTGAGTTAACAAACTAAGCATTTATTTCATTATTTGCTAATGATGACCACCATGTACTTTGTCTAGAAATAATAAGATTAGGCCTGTTTAGCCTTAAAGCCACTGTCTCCATAGGTGTGCATGGGAGAAGGAAGGGCAGGGGAGGCGGCAACTTTTCTAGTCACCTAAGAGGGGTGCGCAAAGTAAATTCCATACATGAATACTATAGAAAGGGGCGCACTGCGACTCGAAAGGGGGGGGGGGGCAAAAACCTCATACAATAATCTTATAGACTGGGGGGCGCAACTACGGACAATCTCTTCACCCCCCCCCCCCCCCCCTGAAGGGGAACCCTGTGCATGCCTATGAGTGCTCCCAACTTCTGACGAATCTATTGGCCTCTTTGTTACTTTTTTTTTCGTTCTCTACAGAGTGTTCTACGGGAATTTGAAACATCCTTTAGCCTTGGTGATTGCAAGTTGAGTCTGATGGCAACGCTAGTGATAACGTAGTCATGGCTTCTATTTAAGGAACGACCAAGGCTTTTTTATTGGTGTACGCAAAGATACCTTTTCATAATATATGCATTACCTTCACAGTGCCCCTCTATAGATTGACTGGACTTGCACTTTTTTGATTTAGTGAACAGACTGAATATTCTTCTTTTTTTTTGCCACGATGTTGTGAGTAAACAACACCTTTCTCATTAAACAAAAAAGCTTTTTATGTTTGTTGTTGATCAGTCAATTTCTTCCTTTTTTACAGATGACTTATTTTCGCTTTTGGAAATTTTCGCCAAAGTGCCTTCTCAGGTATTGCCAAACGCTGTTCTGAGTGTTTCCACCTTCTTTTTCTTAAGGTAAGCATACATACCGTTGTTTACTTGCGCGAATCACTGGCGGAAATCGAACAACCAATAAAGAAAAGAGCACTGGTTGAACGCAAAACACAGGTCAACCAATGCTACTTTCTTCGATGAAGTCAACCGACCAGCCCCCCAAATTTCAACCGTGCTCAAGCAGCATCAGAAATGCAAGTTAGGCTAGTCAGTTCGAATTGCATTCAGACGTAACTAATTAGTGCATAAAGGGACGAAAGACAGGGCGAAGAAAGTGGTTAAGCAAACAAACTTTACTGTCACCTTGACTTCTGAGATGCCGCTTCCCCCCCCCCCGCCCTCTCGAAGAGAAGCTGACAGCATTATTGTCCACAGCGACGCCAATTCAGCGTGCCGTTATTTGTCCGTCAAAAACGGAAATGATCCTCATCGTGAACCTGCTCGTGCTCTCTACATCTTCTTACCGCTCTTCGCTCGCTTCTGCTTCCTTCCCCAAAACATGCGCTGATTTCTCCAGTGGGGCCTCTGATGACCCTAGTGGTAAGAAAACAAGGACAAAGCAAAGTAAAAGAAGAAAGAAGAAGATAGAAATGTAGAAATAACAGAAATTCTTGTGGAAAAGTTTTTTCATGAGGTAGGATTTTAATTAGCGTACCTTGAACTTAAGACAAGCGTCCTAACTACTCGGCTTTCCAAAAAATGCTAGCATACCATAGCTTTTCCTTGTGTATTATCATACAGCATGGGGGTAGACAAGAGAAGTGAGGATGAGGACGGACATGAGAAGGGAAGAGAGTGAAGCATATCCTAACACAAAAAGAATGCGAAATACAAAAATAAAAAGAAAACAACGCAAAAAGAAAGAGAAAGAAAGATATAGGCTAAATAAGTACATTGAAGTAAACACAAAAAAGAAGATATAGAAAAAACCAAGAGAAGAGAAAATAAGAAAGAAATAGAGGAGTAAACAAAGAGAAAATCTGCAAAACATGACAAAACAGCAAAAGCCAGGACTACATAGGGGCCCAGCAGCTCCGCTGTCTCTTTAAAAGAGTATTGCACCTCCAGTAGAAACTACGCTAATCAATCAATCAATCAATCAATCAATCAATCAATCAATCAATCAATCAATCAATCAATCAATCAATCAATCATGCAATCAATCAATCAATCAATCAATCATTTATTCACCGTGTACGGAAACAACCATGAGGTCCTAGTGCAGGCGCACGCAAAAATAAAGATACAAATAAACAGCAAAGTACAGACATTCTTCTGAAAAATAAAACAAAATGAGGGAAACACACATACAAGCAGAAATCAGCGAAAAATGGGAAGAATAAAAGAGACAAAATAAGAATCATGAAATGGAAGTGAAAAACAGGGGGAATATACACAACTATGTAGAAACCTTCCTGAAAGACGGAAAAGGGAAGACTGTGCACATTGTGAAAAACCATGTTAAGACAGTGCACAGCTGCGATAAAAACAATGAGACAGCACTGTGTAAAACATCAATACCATGAAAGTTGACATTATATAAATTTTGTATTCTGTGAATGAAAGAATGTTGAAAGAAGTTCGCAGGTACACAGAATGGTTGATCTCTCTGGTTAGCTTACGCAGAATTCGAAAACTTACACAACTGAGAAGTGAGGGGCAGGATATCATACCATGAACTAGTTTAAAAAAAAACAGGCCAGCGCGATTTTGTCAGCAGTGAAGTGATGGCAATGATAAGATCTGGCAGTGTTAGAACGAGATCCATAGTGATTTCTAACAAAACGATGGTTGCAAATGCTTATGATTTTTTTCTGGATTCGTTCAATGGAATCCTTGCCTGATTCAGCGATGCCATTCCAGATCACATGTAGATGTATATTCGAGTTGAGGAAGACATATTGCAGTGTACAATTGGTGGAAGGCTGTAGAGGAACTGAATTCTCGAGAGATCCGGCAAACACAGCTAAGAGAACGAAGGCCACGCATAGCAGCCCATTTAGTGTGAGCAAAAAAAAAAAAAAACATGCTATCAAAAATAACACTCAAATCACGTAATGCATGAACCTTATATAACCCAATGGTATTCGCAGAGTACGGAAATAACACGAATGGACGTTTCGTAATATATGCTCATGAATTTTGTCTTCGAGGTATTCAGAGAAAGGTTATTATTGTCGCGCCATTTGGAGAAAAAAACACAAATCTGGCTTCAGCAAGCGAAGTCGTCAACTGAATAAAATTCCTTCAATATTTTGATGTCATCAGCATACAGAAGAAAAGAAGAATAGCGAATTGCTGAAGAAAGATTGTTCACGTAAATTTAAAATAAGAGTGGGCCTAATACCAATATTTGGGAGACTCGACTAGTTATTTTGTACAAAGAAGATGGTTGGCCATTTACGGCAACTTAACATGATCTATTAAGCAGATAGCTGGGCAGGAGCTTCACAACGGATAAGTAAACATCAAAATTTGCAAGTTTAACTAAAACAGTGAGTAGCTGGGTACGTCAAAAGCCTTGCTCAGGTCACAGTATTCTACGTCAACCAGTCCTCTTTGAGAAATAGGTGGAGATATTTGCGTCATGAAACCAGTTAGGTGTGTAATAATAATGATAATAATAATAATAATAATAATAATAATAATAATAATAATAATAATAATAATAATAATAATAATAATAATAATAATAATAATAATAATAATAATAATAATAATAATAATAATAATAAAACAAAGAGAGAAACATTGAATGGAAGGAAAAAATACCACCAGGTCCGCACAGTCACAGTGAAAGCTGAGAAGAGCGGCCTTTCAGAGCCTTTGCTAAATATCTTTTCGGTAACTGCTACAATCACATTTACAGTGTGCTCACGAGTGTTGCAGAATGAACGCCTTTATTTCATTCCAATTTATTTCCGGTGCATTAGAGCTTGTTGTAATTTCATTCCTTGCCCCGCCGTAGTGGTCTAGCGTCTAAGGTACTCGGCTGCAGACCCACAGGTCACGGGATTGAATCCCGGCTGCGGCGGATGAATTTTCGATGGAGGCGGAAATGTTGTAGGCCCATGTGCTCTGATTTGGGCGCCCGTTAAAGAACCTCAGGTGGTCTAAATTTCCGGAGCCCTTCACTACAGCATCTCTCATATATTATGGTGGTTTTGGGATGTTAAACCCCATATATCAATCAATGAATCATTAATTTTATCCGTTTCAATTTCTTGAAATACAGACAAAAAATACCTCGCATACCACCTGAAGGCACTAAATCTGCCAGAACTAGACCCTCGCTATGAATGAAGGAAAGAAGGTTTAAGCTAAGGGCTAGTTTTCTGTGTTAAAAACAGTAATAATGAGAACTAACAAACAATCATGGCCAGGAAGGTATAGGGAATAATATTATAAGTAATTGTATTGTAAATGTAAAGAAAGAAAAGTGATGACATGTCGCAAGTTCGCTTCTTGCCCACGGCAAGTTATCTTTTTATTCTCTTTTCTTTCTTCACATTCGCATTACAATTACTTCTAATAACTGCCCCTATCCATTCCTTGACTTAAGTGTCAGTCAGTTCTCATTAATACTGTTTCTAACAAAGAAAACGAGCCCTTATATAGGTTAGCCCCAATTTTTTCTGCATTTTATAAGAGGGCATAATTGTAATAGGCACGTTGCTTATGAATGTACCCTGCTTGTAATCAGCCAAGTCTTTTTAAATTGCTGCTTTATTGTTAAATTCAAGGGTCTGAATTGCTAGTGTTTTATTTTTGAAAAAAAAACCGCACGTCGACGAAAATGTGCTCAATTTTCGGAAAGGGAGGAAATTTTATTGCCATTTCATTTTCTGCAAAATGAACTTAATTTCATTCCCATTTCATTCATCCAAGCTTTGTCGCCATTTTGTTCCCATTCGATTCCGAGGTCGCAAAATGGTGGGATGATTCGGGATTCATTCCGATTCCGTAAAGGCAACTCCGTAACACCGGTATCCACTACCCTATAATCCGTCATAACTTTTGTGTTGTAGGTAGGCATTCAATAATCGGAGAAGCGTGGTACCTGCTACACATATGCAAAGGACATTTAGCAATATGTATGATGTGGCTGACGACAACGAAGAATTATGCCTGGAGCTTTTGTGAAGGGTTGGAGCATTCGACGACCCACTCGTAATGCAATTCACATTGTGTATTGCCTGGTTGTTTCTGTAATGTTATAAAACGCTTCTTGTATTACCATGACTCCTTTCCTTTCATCAAGCCATCCTAAGGCGAATTTGCCATAGAGTTTCAAGCACCAGTGTGGCTCAGTGGTAGAGTATTGGGCTGCCACGCAGGCGACCCGGGTTTGAATATCTTTGTGTCCTGGTGCCTTTTATTTACCAAGCTTTTTTTTCTTGCTTCGCGCGATAGTGGTTACCGGCAGCGGCGGCGGACAACTACAGCGCACGTGACCGTTGTCTTGGCCTCATAAGAGCTTTCGCTGTAAAATTGTTTGCTGGTGTGCATATAACAACTGACGTGGTACTTTGCATATCTATAAAAAGAACAGTTTTAAAATATCGCTTGGAGTTCTGAATGAAAAAAAAATTAAGATAGCTTCAAAATGAGCGAGTAAGACGGGCAATGATATTGAGAAATGAGACTATAGGGGAATTCAGGCTTTTCTGTGGCTACGTAAAAATCCGCCTTTGAACGAAAACAAAAACTGTAACTAAAAGAACAAGAACTTCAGGACCTGCTATTGTCTTCAAGGGCAGGGCATAGGACCGAGTATTCCACGTATTTGTGCCATAGAGGGTGGCAAATTACGTCCGTTTGGCACCCAGACAGAGATATAAACCAACACGTGGAGCATTTCAGGACGAGATTCGATATTTTTAGTACACCTTTGTTGTGACCCTGCTATACATATAACATAGTATCGAGTGAACGTCAGGAAAAGAATCGCGATGCATTGCAAAACGTCAGCTGCCTTAATAAGTTTGCTAATAGCCTAGAGTGAGTACCCGAAACGAAGTATAATAGCTGCCACTGACACTTGCCATTGTCTTGGGATTCTTTTCATGACTTTCAAGCGATATCTAGCCTGTTATCACGTGTACAAAAAAGTCGGCCACCGTAACACGTTGGAAAAGGATCGATAGGTGGAGTAGTTTGTAATTCATATTTGTTCAGTGCTCGTTTTGAATTGTTATTCCTTCGTCCGTTGTCTGTACCCGCGTTCCCAGTACGCTGTACCATAATATGTTCTGAGATAGCCTACAGTCGATGTGCGAAAAGTAGCCGTGAATTAAAGGACCGATGGAAATATTGAAATTTCCACGCACAACGGACTTGCACGAGCGGCTCCAGACACGTAATGATACCGTATGCACCATAAAACTGCCACTTTATGATGTTTGTGTGTGTTCCCTTTCTCTCTTTACTCTTCTTTCAATCTGCCCTTTCCCCTGTTCATGGTAGCGCAGCGGTTGTGCTAAAGTGGTTTTCCTGTTTTCCTTTTTTCTTTGAGTCAACGAAATACAAACTATTATATGTGACCGAACATAAATATTTTACCGGTGCTGCATGCTGTATAGGTATCGCCAACGACATTCGTTAATATAGTCGCAAGAGGTGCATGGTTGCACGTTTTGTACCTTTCTTTCTTCGTCTGACGATGATTGCGTTTCATTAGCCACGCTTGACGATGTATCTGTCTACTGATCATGCCGAAAAGACCACGTAGCCCGGAGAACTTCCGGGACGCAGCACATGCTATTCCTTTTTTTCACCGCCACACATATCAGCCGATGTTTGAACGGCAACTGCTAGATTGGTTTGTAAAAAAAAAACTGTAAGTGAGTGGAAGAAAGCTTCAAACCATTTTATTCAGTTAGAGTTGGTGAACGGAAGAAAGACGCCTAATTTAATGCACGATCAGAAGACATCGCATTATCAAGAAAGTTTACTGTAAGTTTCCAACAGCTGATTAGCATGAAATCACTCTGTGGCCTCAAAATAACTGTGTTGCTCGAAATGAGAAATAAATGCATGGCCGAGAAACAATGAAACAATGCGTAAAAGTGGTTAAAGACAACACGAGGCATCCCAATAAGAGGTGAATTGAAAGGGCGGGAAGTGTCGCGATTCATTTCTTCCCTTTAGGCTCCACGTGGATACTTTAATAATAATACATTACTGACTCTACGCTATGCCTACATACTTACACTAGCAATAATTATTTTGCTGACGAGGCTGACTTAGAAGACGAGTTTATGACGGTACGACAAAGTCGCGAAGAGTATTGTTCACATACTCTGTTCATTATCTGTAGTGCTGCCTGATATGGTTGAGTCATGTCAGTTCTGTTCCTGCTGTCTCGATTGTGCTGAATAAGACCACAAGCGTACCCGATTTTAATTGCCGATTCCAAGCACCTTTTCATTTCGCACACTGCGCATGTACAAATACATCCAAGCTCCTTCCTGATTTTCTTAGCAACCTTCAATCAGCTCGGTCAAACATCACTTTCAAAAGCAGGTGCCTTTAATCCTTCCTGGTAGAGATTTCTTATTTGAGGAAACGACTTTATTTTTTGTGCACCAAACGAGAAAGTCATGAGCGAATGTTTTATTGACTGTGAAATTTTACTTACTATTACGCGAAAAATTGTTTTTCTCTTTGGTGTCACTTCGAAGAGGACCAAGAGTCTGTAGCTATAATAATTTGTAAATTTTGTACCTAAATTTATCGACACTGGAATACTTCAGGCGTACTGAACTTTTGTTCCAATTCGGGAAACAGAAATGAAATCAATGTCGTATGTAAAACGAATTTCGGGCTCTTTTTTCATACCATGCCGGGTGGTTCTATGTGTGTCAGCATGGGATGCACTTACTAACGTTCTTTCTTTCTTTCTTTCTTTCTTTCTTTCTTTCTTTCTTTCTTTCTTTCTTTCTTTCTTTCTTTCTTTCTTTCTTTCTTTCTTTCTTTCTTTCTTTCTTTCTTTCGTTCTTTCTTTCTTTCTTTCTTTATTTCTTTCTTTCTTTCGCTCTCTTTCTTCCTTTCTTTTCTTCTTTCTTTTCTTCTTTCCTTCTTTCTTTCTTTCTTTCTTTCTTTTACCTAACCACTTGCTTTTCTTTACACTTTTAACCTAAGTTCTAGTTTCTATGAAAGAACGAAAATGTGCAGGTAAGAAACAAAACGTAACCCCTGAGTACCTTTAATCGATGCCAGGGGTAATAAGCAGAAATATAGTTCACTGAGATACAAAAACGTTCTTCGACTTTTCACAAATTGGCGAATTCACAAATGATGTATCTTCTCTTCACAGCGGGTTTGTACTGCCATTTATGGTGCCAAAACCAAAAACAAGCAAAACAAGCATAGGAACCATGTACCTGGTGGGAATCATAAAACGTTACATCAGGTACGTACTCAGGTAATTTTCGTTACCTTGAAGAAAAAAAGAACTGTCGGCGTTATGAGCCACACCTGTTTGCGTCAATCTTAAAGATATTACTTGAAAATAAACTTAAATATAGTAAAGATTAACGACTCAAGGACATTTGAAGCATACAAACATTAGTGTATGCGTCATGCCGATGATGATGATGAACAAACTTCATTTAAGTAGCAGAAATATCTTCCTCCCCTTTAAGACGAGGGGAGAAGCACCCAACCTATACTCTGTTTCAAAAGTTCCCTTCAGCACTGTGGAGGCTACAAGGCCACCAGCCAATAAGAAAGGCGATTAGCCCCTTCACATGTATTCATCCGTGCCATGTCGTCTGCTCACCGTCTGCACGCCGTCCGCTCACTTACTTCTCTTTGCACACTCATTGCATGTGACATGGATGGTTTATTACTTTAAAAATTAAGTAAAACTGTCAGACAAGCCATGACACTTCAACTTCAGAAAGTTCGGCGTCTTAAGAATATGATTTGTGGCTCTAATGAAGATCAGTAGACGCTCATGCCGGTGGATAACTTCACTTTGTGGCTCTCCGACACTGTTCATGGCTCTGGCATGACTACTTCTTTGTCAACGCGTTTCTTCCGCATCTCGCTGCAATGATTTTTTCTATCTTTTTTTGTTTCACCGAAAAAGCATTAGACTCGCGCGGAACGCTGTGCGAAGTTGCATGTCCAATATTTGGAGAAGCAGCGTTTTTGGTATGGCGACGCAGCCCAAACCCTGGCCTCGGCACGTTAGGCTTATCAGATATAGCTATAGACGCAAGCAGCATATCTAGCTAATAACGACCAAACGTACCAGATGCTTCATCCTCAGAGGAACATGAAACAAATCGATGGCTGATTTCACCATTTATATGATGGTGTCAGCGCTGTGGGCGTTTAGCAGGAGCAAAATCGGATCGAAGCGGGTGGTCGCTTCTGCATGGGGGCTGCCATGTTGATTTATAACCACAGTTACTGCCAGTAACCGACACAAACAATTTAATGCGTAATAAATGAACGCGATGAAGAAAAACATATCACGTATTGATGTGGCACCATAGAAACGCCAATTTTAGACAACCTTATCGTTTTCAAGGCACTTATATCTGAGACTATGTTTCACTGCGCAAGCGTGTGGATTTTTTACACCCCGTAGCTTTGGTAGTGCTGAACCAAAGAGGGGAAACAAAGTATAGATGAGAGCCATGATCCCATGGGCCTTGGCGGCGTCTTCAGCCTGCCGTATCAAGCGGGCTTGTAATTGCGAGTCAGAGCTGAGGAGAGCGGTATCCTACCAACTACGGTCTGGCAATTCACCTCTCACGTGGACCTGCGGGCATGCCCTTAGAATGTGGCTCAAGTCCACCCTGTTATCACAAAATTTACACTTGTCCGAAGGAAGTCCCCGCACGCAGCAGTTCATCTCTACATGACGCCGAAATGATAATGTTTCTTTAAAAGTGCAGCAGCTTGTGCACAGGCTTGTAACTCTCAAAACAATGACAAAGAGATACGTAATTATGAGATTTTTTAGGCGTTGTTGCTTAAGAGGTTGAGTTTTTTTTCATTCTCATTCAGTGCCACTTTTTTATCTTATTTCTACATTTATTGCATTGCTAGTTTGAAATAACTGACTAAAATGGCAAATTTAGTTAACTGAGGTGATTATGTGGTTACAGCTTAGAATCTATGGGTCGGGGTATTGCAAAACAGTAGGTGGTCTTATGAATGCTGACGAAAACTGATTATTCAAATAAAAAAAAATTACAGTGCCACGTACTTGTTGTCCAGTTTCCAGTTATCCAATTTCACAATAAACAAAGTTCAACCGGACTAGGTACAGTCAGAAGACACGTTTATCTTTACTATGCCCTGTGGTTCGTGTTGTTTATTTAATATAAAAAAGGAATTCAACCACTTTGAAGGTATCGCTTCTAGATATAAAAATCACAGCATATCCACGGAGTGAATGATGATGAGTGGGGTGAAGCTCCGGAGAGTTTTATCGGTAAACCATGAATCGTCCATCCATTCATCCTTGATGCGGGAATCTCAAGTCTGTACCAGCCTTTCGTTTTTGCGCATCTCTTGCTTACCGAGCATCGTCTTACGGTAATAGAGGTGTTTTATTGATTGTGAAATTTTACTTTACTATTCTGTCTGTCTGTCTGTCTGTCTGTCTGTCTGTCTGTCTGTCTGTCTGTCTGTCTGTCTGTCTGTCTGTCTGTCTGTCTGTCTGTCTGTGTCCGTTCATCCGTCCGTCCGTCCGTCCGTAAGTTCGTCCGTCGGCACCTGCTGAGTGAGTCATCAAACTAGGTGGTCACGTACCACGAGCTAGGAGGGACAGACCCACGGCTTTAGGAGCTTCGCCCCTAAAACGAGAGCAGATCCTGTAGTCACCCCGCCGCGGTGGTCTTGTGACTAAGGTACTCGGCTGCTGACCCGCAGGTCGCGGGATCAAATGCCGGCTGCGGCGGCTGCATTTTCGATGGAGGCGGAAACGCTGCAGGCCCGTGTGCTTAACTTTGGGCACTCGTTAAAGAACCGCAGGTGGTTGAAATTTCTGGAGCCCTCCACTACGGCGTCGCTCATAATCATATGGTGGTTTTAGGACATTAACCCCACATATCAATCAATCAATCCGACCCCGGAGGTAACGCCCTAAAACATCAAGTATCAAAGCGCTAACCATCAGGAGGAAAGAATGCAATAAATGGGCACTTGACGTACATGCCTGACGTTTAAAAGAGTGTCTTTGGCACGAGAGAAGCACCAGCGCGACAGTGACTGCTTTTTGGGAAGATATTGATGGAATTGCACTATGTGAATGCTTCTTCCTAGAATTCATAAAAAGTTGTTCAACAGTTCATCACGTATGTTCCAAGACACCACGAGATACACAAAGGGTACAAATCTTCCACAGTAAATTTTAAAAGGAAGGCTTATTGGTCAGTAAGTGGTACACTAAGAAAAACACAGTTCAATAATGATTTCTGCACTTACCGGGTATTAGAGGTAAATAATAAGTAAAGCTTTCTAGATATATTTAGTTCAATCGAAGCCGTATTGAAAGGTTGCGGAGTAGGTATGGACATCTAGGGTGCAGCAAAATCAAAGTGGCAAGCGTTTTCATTTTTCGCTACCATGAATGTCTCCCCCATGACTTGTAATTGAACATGCGACCTCTCAGTAAGACATTTCTATAACAACCAAGTGGTTATATAAATTGCATTTACCTGGACGGCAATGTACGAATTCCAGAAAACTGAATGTTACCGCGAACGTGGGGATTGCTACACCCCCCACCCCTTAAAAAAAGGCAAAATACAGCTTGCACGCTACGTTGAAATTTCTGGATATGCTTCTCATGGCACCATGAATTTTGTCAGAGTATGGTTGAGACCCATAATTAATAAATCGTGATTATACTTTGGTGATTATCAGGTCAATATGACACCAAATTTTCACCTTAGAGACATGTATGTATGTATGTATGTATGTATGTATGTATGTATGTATGTATGTATGTATGTATGTATGTATGTATGTATGTATGTATGTATGTATGTATGTATGTATGTATGTATGTATGTATGTATGTATGTATGTATGTATGTATGTATGTATGTATGTATGTATGTATGTATGTATGTATGTATGTATGTATGTATGTATGTATGTATGTATGTATGTATGTTACTATAGCGACAAAGTACCTGGAAGAACGGGGACTAGAGCTGTCATCAGGGAAATGCTCGCTTATAGCATTCACGCATAAGGCTATGAGACCATATGTTATTAAAATCAACGGACACACGATCAACTACGTGAAGACCCACTGATTCCTCGGAGTCATAGTTGATCGCGACCTCTCCTGGAGCCCTCACATCGCCCACATGAAAACTAAACTCACCATGGTCACCCACGTACTTAGGTTTTTTGCTGGAAAAACGTGGGGTGCATCGGTACGAGCAATGCTCCAACTCTACACTGTTCTGTTCCTCGGTCATATGCGATACAGCTTACCCGTGCTTTGCGGGATCCGAAGAACAAACTTGCGCGTCCTCCAGTCGATCCAAGCCCAAGCCCTGAGAATATGCCTTGGTCTCCCGAGATGCGCGTCTACAGCAGCGACAGTCATCATTGCGCGTGATTATCCAGTCAACGCATACATCCGCGTAGACGCTTTGAGAATGCACATAAGACATTTCGCTCGGCTTCCATCTCATCACCTTGCCTCACTTGGAACTTCTAGGCCCCACTCAGCGTTCAGCGACACTGTAGCTCAGCATTGCGCAGTGCTTCCATTGCACTTCACGCATGCAGCACAGCCGCCGATACCATTATGGTGCCTACACCCAGTCAAAGCCCTTCTTACCATTCCTGGCATCCAAAATAAGAAAAAGTTGTCGCATCTGGCCCTGAAACAGGCCACATTACTTTTCCTGCAAGAGAAGCACAACGGACGCCTTCACATTTACACGGATGGCTCGGTGTCTTCAGTAAGCTCTGCAGGGGCGGTGGTTATTCCCGCGAGGCACATCACAATTAAATTCATGACATCGCATTTGACGTCGTCGACAGCTGCAGAACTTGCAGCCATTCGTGCAGCTCTGGAGTTTATAGTGAAAGAACCTTCGGGAATTTGGTCGATCTTCTCGGACTCGAAGGCATCTCTTCAATGTCTTATATCACCCTTTCGCCATGGACCTAATGAACAGTTAGTAGCTGAAATAAGGCTTCTTCATCACTAAGCAACCGAAAAACAGCACAGCATAGTCTATCAGTGGATACCAGGTGATTGCGGTATATATGGCAATGACCGCGCAGATGAGGCCGCTAGATCTGCACACGATGGTACCCAATACACAGCCATCCCGTTCTCAAGAACCGACGCAGCTACAAGACTTCATTCGCTTGCACGTGACCTCACACTGGTACAGTGGAACTCAACAGACTTCACAAACG